AGATATCTGCCTCAACACAATTCCATCTCGGAGATCTACGGACAGTTCCTTGGACTTCATGGTATACACTGAGTATACCAAACATTAAGAACACCTGCTCTTTCCATGACATAGACTGACCAGGTGAAAGCTATGATCCCTTATTGATGTATTTTAAGCCTTGAGACAATTGAGACATGGATTGTGTATGTGTGCCATTCAGAGAATGAATGGGCAAGACAAAATATTTAAGTGCCTTTGAACAGGGTATGGTAGTAGGTGCCAGGCGCACCGGTTTGTGTCTAGAACTGCAACGCTGCAGGGTTTTTCACACTCAAGAGTTCCTGTGTATCAAGAACTGTCCACCACCCAAAGAACATCCAGCCAACTTGTCACAACTGTGGGAAGCATTGGAGTCAACATGGGCCAGCATCAATGTTCCCTCTAAGCTGCGCTCGTACACGCGCAGTAGCCCCGAGACTGCCGCGCCGCTCCCCGGGACTGCCACGCAGAAATACAGTATCAGCCCACAGACAGAAGCACGAGATTGAACTTCACTCAACTTTCTAAAGCAGTGGTCACCAACCGGTCGATTGCGATCTCCAAGACATTCCTAGTCGATCTCCAAACATTTCTGTTAAAAACCCAACGATACAGCCTTGTGTTCCTATTTTTTTTTATTTGTCTCGGGCTGTTGGCGGTTGGTGCACCCGATTCAGCTGGCGAACTGTTGCCATTTCGAACCATTTCATGTCTGAAGGTACAAACTCTGCCTTCCCGGCAGGCCCAGAGAGCAAATCAAGGGTACTATAGGCTTACCTCTGGCCAATCTGATGGCTCATATTACCGTGTCTGCAGTAACGTAGCAGGCATAAAAGAACACTATAGCAAAGTTGATACTGTGAAATTTAAAAACGTTTAAAACCATGACTAAAGACAGACTGTCAACGAATACAGTAAAGAGCTGCTGTTTTTATGAGTGAGTTCATGTGTAAGTTTTTACTCAGCATTGTCAACACTTTGTATTCAACACTTTTATAAGCCATAAAATGTGCATTCTTCCTATGGCTTGCGTTGTTGTTATTACTAGCGGCTCAGGTCTTTTTTAATATTGAGGAATATTTTACTTTCTCTGTTCATAGGAGTTTGCAAGCTTGCAAATGTATTAAAAATGGCTGCCTGGCCAAACTGAGCAATCGGGGAGAAGGGCCTTGGTCAGGGAGGTCCCTCTGACAGAGCTCCAGTTCCTCTGTGGACATGAGCCTTCCAGAAGGACAACCATCTCTGCAGCACTCCACCAATCAGACCTTTATGGTAGAGTGGCCAGACGGAAGACAGTCCTCAGTAAAAGGCACATGACAGCCCGCTTGGAGCTTGCCAAAAGGCATCTTAAGGACTCTCAGACCATGAGAAACAAGATTCTCTGGTCTGATGAAACCAAGATTTAACTCTTTGGCCTGAATGCCAAGCTTCACGTCTGGAGGAAACCTGGTGGTGGCAGCATCATGCTGTGGGGATGTTTTTCAGCGGCAGGGACTTGGAGACTAGCCAGGATCGAGGGAAAGATGAACGGAGCAAAGTACAGAGATATCCTTGATGAAAACCTGTTCCAGAGCCCTCAGGACTCAGTTCACCTTCCAACAGGACAACAACCCTAAGCACACAGCCAAGACAACGCAGGAGTGGCTTCGGGACAAGTCTCTGAATGTCCTTGAGTGGCCCAGCCAGAGCCCGGACTTGAACCTGATCGAACATCTCTGGAGAGACCTGAAAATAGCTGTGCCAACCTGACAAAGCTTGAGAGGATCTGCAGAGAAGAATGGGAGAAACTCCCCAAATACAGGTGTGGTAAGCTTGTAGCGTCATACCCAAGAAGACTCGAGGCTGTAATCGCTGCCAAAGGTGCTTCAACAAAATTCAGAGTAAAGGGTCTGAATACTTATGTAAATGTTATATTTCCGTTTGCAAAAATTTCTAAAAACCTGTTTTTGCTTTGTCATTATGGGGTATTTATTGTGTGTAGATTGATGAGGAAAAATTAGATTTCATCAATTTTAGAATAAGGCTGTAATCTAACAAAATGTTGAAAAAGTGAAGGGGTCTGAATACTTTCCGAATGCAGTGAATATAATAGGGCCGGGACGATACCAGTATCGCAGTATTTTTTACATGGCAAAAATGAAAACACGAAGCAGACTAAAGTCTTTGGTCCTTTAAAAATCTGCTGTGTGGGCCTCCCGAGTGGCGCAGCGTTCTAAGGCACTGCATCGCAGTGCTTGAGGCGTCACTACAGACCCGGGTTCGATCCCAGGCTGTGTCGCAGACCGGGAGACCCATGAGGCGGCGCACAATTGGCCCAGCGTCGTCCGGGTTAGGGGAGGGTTTGGCCGGCCGGGATGTCCTTGTCCCATTGCGCTCTAGCGACTCCTTGTGGATGCACGCTGACTTTGGTCGCCAGCTGTACAGTGTTTCCTCCGACACATTGGTGCGGCTGGCTTCCGGGTTAAGCGAGCAGTGCGGCTTGGAAGGACGCATGGCTCTCGAGCTTCGCTGCTCTCGAGTCCGTACGGGAGTTGCAGCGATGGGACAAGACTAACTACCAATTGGATATCACGAAATTGGGGATAAAAAGGGGCATATGTAAAATATTGTGTGCTATAGCTTGGAAAATAAATGTGACTCTGGATGACAACATAATAAGAGGGTACACTCGGCTACACATACAGTGCCTTCAGAAAGTATACACACCCTTTACTTTTTCCACATTTGTTTGTGTTACAACACCTTGTAGAGTCCATGGTCCGACAAATTGAGGCTGTTCTGAGGGCAAAAGGCGTGGGAGCAACTCAAAATTAGTAAGGTGTTTTAATGTTTGGTATTCTCAGTGTAGTTTCTGCTCTGACATGCACTGTCAACTATGGGACCTTATGTAGACAGGTGTGGCCACATGTGGACGTCAATCAAGTTGTAGTGACATCTCAAGGAAATTGGATGCACCTGATCTCAATTTGGAGTGTCATAGCAAAGGGGTGTGAATACTTATGTAAATGAGATATTTCTGTATTTAATTTTCAATACATTTGAAACATTTTCTAAAAACATATTTTCACTTTGTCATTATTTGGTATTGTGTGTAGATGGGTGATTTAAAAACAACAATTTTGAATTCAGGCTGTAACAACAAAATGTGGAATAAGTCAAGGGGTATGAATACTTTCTGAAGGCTTTCAAAAGTTTTGAGAATTAGTATTCGTCTCCACAAAGTTTTCTGCCTCAGTGTTGATGATGGCAATTTGCATATACTCCAGAATGTCATGAAGAGTGATCAGATGAATTGCAATTAATTGCAAAGTCCCTCTTTGCCATGAAAACATTTCCACTGCATTTCAGCCCTGTCACAAAAGGACCAGCTGCCATCATGTCAGTGATTGTCTCGTTAACACAGGTGAGAGTGTTGACGAGGACAAGGCTGGTGATCACTCTTGTCACGCTGATTGAGTTAGAATAACAGACTGGAAGCTTTAAAAGGAGGGTGGTGCTTGAAATCATTGTTCTTCCTCTGTCAACCATGGTTACCTGCAAGGAAACACGTGCCGTCATCATTGCTTTGCACAAAAAGGGCTTCACAGGCAAGGATATTGCTGCTAGTAAGATTGCACCTAAATCAACCATTTATCGGATCATCAAGAACTTCAAGGAGAGAGGTTCAATTGTTGTGAAGAAGGCGTCAGGGCGACCAAGAAAGTCCAGCAAGCACCAGGACCGTCTTCTAAAGTTGATTCAGCTGCGGGATCTGGGCACCACCAGTGCAGAGCTTGCTCAGGAATGGCAGCAGGCAGGTGTGAGTGCATCTGCACGCACAGTGAGGCGAAGACCTTTGGAGGATGGCCTGGTGTCAAGAAGGGCAGCAAAGAAGCCACTTCTCTCCAGGAAAAACATCAGGGACAGACTGATATTCTGCAAAAGGTACAGGGATTGGACTGCTGAGGACTGGGGTAGAGTCATTTTCTCTGATGAATCCCCTTTCCAATTGTTTGGGCCATCCAGAAAACACCTTGTCCAGAGAAGACAAGGTGAGAGCTACCATCAGTCCTGTGTCATGCCAACAGTTAAGCATCCTGAGACCATTCATGTGTGGGGTTGCTTCTCAGCCAAGGGAGTGGGCTCACTCACAATATTTCCTAAGAACACAGCCATGAATAAAGAATGGTACCAACACATCATCCGAGAGCAACTTCTCCCAACCATCCAAGAACAGTTGAACAGGTGACGAACAATTCCTTTTCCAGCATGATGGAGCACCTTGCCATAAGGCAAAAGTGATAACTAAGTGGCTCGGGGAACAAAACATCGAAATATTGGGTCCATGGCCAGGAAACTCCCCAGACCTTAATCCCATTGAGAACTTGTGGTCAATCCTCAAGAGGCGGGTGGACAAACAAAACCTCAGCATGCCAGGGCGGATTGCAGAGGTCTTGAAAAAGAAGGGTCAACACTGAAAATATTGACTCTTTGCATAAACTGAATGTCATTGTCAATGAAAGCCTTTGACACTTATGGAACACTTGTAATTATACTTCAGTGTACCATAGTAACTACTGACATAAAGGTCTAAGAACACTGAAGCAGCAAACTTTGTGGAGACCAATACTTGTGTCATTCTCAAAACGTTTGACCACAACTGTAGCTCAGTATTTGTATTATTTATTTTTTTTACAGTCTTTTTTGCTCATGTTTATCTAGGGTGTCAATAATTATGGACCCCACTGTATGTCAGGAGAACACTTCGGTTGAGTTCCTGCCTGACTACACTGCAGACATGACAGATCTCAGAACGCCTAGAAAGTTGTTTAACATATCAGCTAACCACATCATATGATATAGCGATCTAATGCCTGACTGTGCAGTCGATGAAGTGGCACGCAACCATAGGTTGATGCAATGCAACGTCTGCAATGTAGTCAGGTGGGAACTTGTCCTTTATAGCTATGTGACAGGTGAGGGGTCACAGAGGTGAGGGGTTAAAGGTCACAGACCTCCAGGCTGCCTCTCTTGGTGGGGTTGAGAATCAGGAACTTCTTCAGTAGGTTCTCACAGTCTGTAGACATGTAGAACGGAATACGGTATTTCCCCCTTAACACACGCTCTCTCAACTCCTATAGGGGAGACAGAGTGGAGGTTAGGGGTTAGAGGTCAAGGGTTAGAGGTCATGGGTCCGTCTGTAGACATGTGGAACGGAATACAGTTACAAATTTCAAGTTCTCACATACCTCTCTCTCACGCACACACACACACACACACACACACACACACACACACACACACACAGTGAGGGAAAAAAGTATTTGATCCCCTGCTGATTTTGTACGTTTGCCCACTGTCAAAGAAATGTCAGTCTATAATTTTAATGGTAGGTTTATTTGAACAGTGAGAGACAGAATAACAACAAAAAAATCCAGAAAAACGCATGTCAAAAATGTTATAAATTGATTTGCATTTTAATGAGGGAAATAAGTATTTGACCCCCTCTCAATCAGAAAGATTTCTGGCTCCCAGGTGTCTTTTATACAGGTAACGAGCTGAGATTAGGAGCACACTCTTAAAGGGAGTGTTCCTAATCTCAGTTTGTTACCTGTATAAAAGACACCTGTCCACAGAAGCAATTAATCAATCAGATTCCACTCTCCACCATGGCCAAGACCAAAGAGCTCTCCAAGGATGTCAGGGACAAGATTGTAGACCTACACAAGGCTGGAATGGGCTACAAGACCATCACCAAGCAGCTTGGTGAGAAGGTGACAACAGTTGGTTCGATTATTCGCAAATGGAAGAAACACAAAATAACTGTCAATCTCCCTCGGCCTGGGGCTCCATGCAAGATCTCACCTCGTGGAGTTGCAATGATCATGAGAACGGTGAGGAATCAGCCCAGAACTACACGGGAGGATCTTGTCAATGATCTCAAGGCAGCTGGGACCATAGTCACCAAGAAAACAATTGGTAACACACAACGCCGTGAAGGACTGCAATCCTGCAGCGCCCGCAAGGTCCCCCTGCTCAAGAAAGCACATATACAGGCCCGTCTGAAGTTTGCCAATGAACATCTGAATGATTCAGTGGAGAACTGGGTGAAAGTGTTGTGGTCAGATGAGACCAAAATCGAGCTCTTTGGCATCAACTCAACTCACCGTGTTTGGAGGAGGAGGAATGCTGCCTATGACCCCAAGAACACCATCCCCACCGTCAAACATAGAGGTGGAAACATTATGCTTTGGGGGTGTTTTTCTGCTAAGGGGACAGGACAACTTCACCGCAACAAAGGGACGATGGACGGGGCCATGTACCGTCAAATCTTGGATGAGAACCTCCTTCCCTCAGCCAGGGCATTGAAAATGGGTCGTGGATGGGTATTCCAGCATGACAATGACCCAAAACACACGGCCAAAGCAACAAAGGAGTGGCTCAAGAAGAAGCACATTAAGGTCCTGGAGTGGCCTAGCCAGTCTCCAGACCTTAATCCCATAGAAAATCTGTGGAGGGAGCTGAAGGTTTGAGTTGCCAAACGTCAGCCTCGAAACCTTAATGACTTGGAGAAGATCTGCAAAGAGGAGTGGGACGAAAGGTACACTTAAACTGTGAGAGACGGAATCTAAAACAAAAATCCAGAAAATCACATTGTATGATTTTTAAGTAATTCATTTGCATTTTATTGCATGACATAAGTATTTGATCACCTACCAACCAGTAAGAATTCCGGCTCTCACAGACTGTTAGTTTTTATTTAAGAAGCCCTCCTGTTCTCCACTCATTACCTGTATTAACTGCACCTGTTTGAACTCGTTACCTGTATAAAAGACACCTGTCCACACACTCAATCAAACAGACTCCAACCTCTCCACAATGGCCAAGACCAGAGAGCTGTGTAAGGACATCAGGGATAAAATTGTAGACCTGACAAGGCTGGGATGGGCTACAGGACAATAGGCAAGCAGCTTGGTGAGAAGGCAACAACTGTTGGCGCAATTATTAGAAAATGGAAGAAGTTCAAGATGACGGTCAATCACCCTCGGTCTGGGGCTCCATGCAAGATCTCACCTCGTGGGGCATCAATGATCATGAGGAAGGTGAGGGATCAGCCCAGAACTACACGGCAGGACCTGGTCAATGACCTGAAGAGAGCTGGGACCACAGTCTCAAAGAAAACCATTAGTAACACACTACGCCGTCATGGATTAAAATCCTGCAGCGCACGCAAGGTCCCCCTGCTCAAGCCAGCGCATGTCCAGGCCCGTCTGAAGTTTGCCAATGACCATCTGGATGATCCAGAGGAGGAATGGGAGAAGGTCATGTGGTCTGATGAGACAAAAATAGAGCTTTTTGGTCTAAACTCCACTCGCCGTGTTTGGAGGAAGAAGAAGGATGAGTACAACCCCAAGAACACCATCCCAACCGTGAAGCATGGAGGTGGAAACATCATTCTTTGGGGATGCTTTTCTGCAAAGGGGACAGGACGACTGCACCGTATTGAGGGGAGGATGGATGGGGCCATGTATCGCGAGATCTTGGCCAACAACCTCCTTCCCTCAGTAAGAGCATTGAAGATGGATCGTGGCTGGGTCTTCCAGCATGACAACGACCCGAAACACACAGCCAGGGCAACTAAGGAGTGGCTTTGTAAGAAGCATCTCAAGGTCCTGGAGTGGCCTAGCCAGTCTCCAGACTTGAACCCAATAGAAAGTCTTTGGCGGGAGCTGAAAGTCCGTATTGCCCAGCGACAGCCCCGAAACTTGAAAGATCTGGAGAAGGTCTGTATGGAGGAGTGGGCCAAAATCCCTGCTGCAGTGTGTGCAAACCTGGTCAAGACCTACAGGAAACGTATGATCTGTCACGAACGTCTACTAAGTGAGTGGACCAAGGCGCAGCGTGCGATACGAACATGACTTTATTAAATTAAAGTACTCAATACAAAACAACAAACAATGACGAATCCTGAAGTCCTCAGTTACAATGACTGATACGGAACAAAAACCCACAACACTAAGGTGAACACTGACAGTTTAAATATGGCTCCCAATCAGAGATAACGAGCCGACAGCTGACACTCGTTACCACTGATTGGGAGTCACACGACCAAACAAGGAAACACAACCAAATACAACACAACCAATACCAAACACAACCAAATGAACACACCCTGGCTCAAAATACACAGTCCCGGAGCCAGAGCGTGACAGTACCCCCCCCTAAAGGCGCGGACTCCGACCGCGCCTACACCCCAAATAGGGGAGGGCTGGGTGGGTGTTGCTCCTCGGAGGCGGCTCCGGCTCCGGGCTTGACCACCACCCTACTACAATCCCCCCGTAGTGCCCCCAGTCCGATCTGACCCAGTTAGCTGGATCAGGACTGCCGACGCGCACCCCTGGCTTGGCGCGTGAGGCAGGAATGGACCGGACCTGGCAGACGATACGCACCCTTTGCATGGTGCGTGGAGCCGGAACAAGCCTCACCAGGCTGAAGACTCGCATCCCTGGCTTGGTGCGAGTAGCAGGAATGGGCTGAATCCGGCTGACGACTCGCACCCTTGGCTTGGTGCGAGTAGCAGGAATGGGCTGAATCCGGCTGACGACTCGCACCCTTGACTTGGTGCGAGTGGCAGGAACAGGCTGAATCCGGCTGACGACTCGCACCCTTGGCTTGGTGCGAGTGGCAGGAACAGGCCGGGTTGGGCCGGCGACGCACACCGTGGACCTGGTGCGTGGAGCAGGGACCGGCTGGGCTGGGCTGACGACGCACACCGTGGGCCTGGTGCGTGGAGCAGGGACAGGCCGAGCTGGGCTGACGACGCACACCGTGGGCCTGGTGCGTGGAGCAGGGACCGGCTGGGCTGGGCTGACGACGCACACCGTGGGCCTGGTGCGTGAAGCAGGGACAGGACGAGCTGGGCTGACGACGCACACCGTGGGCCTGGTGCGTGGAGCATGAACAGGCCGGGCTGGGCTGGCGACGCACACCGTAGGCTTTGTGCGTGGAGCAGGGACAGGCCGGGCTGGGCTGGCGACGCACACCGTAGGCTTTGTGCGTGGAGCAGGAACAGGCCGGGCTGGGCTGGCGACGCACACCGTAGGCTTTGTGCGTGGAGCAGGAACAGGCCGGGTCGGGCTGGCGACGCACACCGTAGGCTTTGTGCGTGGAGCAGGAACAGGCCGGGCTGGGCTGGCGACGCACACCGTAGGCTTTGTGCGTGGAGCAGGGACAGGCCGGGCTGGGCTGGCGACGCACACCGTAGGCTTTGTGCGTGGAGCAGGAACCGGCCGGGCAGGGCTGGCGACGCACCCCACAGGCTTAGTGCGTGGAACAGGAACCGGCCGGGCTGGGCTGACGACGCACACCGTGGGCCTGGTGCGTGGAGCATGAACAGGCCGGGCTGGGCTGGCGACGCACACCGTAGGCTTTGTGCGTGGAGCAGGGACAGGCCGGGCTGGGCTGGCGACGCACACCGTAGGCTTTGTGCGTGGAGCAGGAACAGGCCGGGCTGGGCTGGCGACGCACACCGTAGGCTTTGTGCGTGGAGCAGGAACAGGCCGGGTCGGGCTGGCGACGCACACCGTAGGCTTTGTGCGTGGAGCAGGAACAGGCCGGGCTGGGCTGGCGACGCACACCGTAGGCTTTGTGCGTGGAGCAGGGACAGGCCGGGCTGGGCTGGCGACGCACACCGTAGGCTTTGTGCGTGGAGCAGGAACCGGCCGGGCAGGGCTGGCGACGCACACCGCAGGCTTAGTGCGTGGAACAGGAACCGGCCGGGCTGGACTGGCGACGCACACCGTAAACCTAGTGCGTGGAGCAGGAACCGGCCGGGCAGGGCTGGCGACGCACACCGCAGGCTTAGTGCGTGGAACAGGAACCGGCCGGGCTGGACTGGCGACGCACACCGTGGGCTTGGAGCGTGGAGTAGGAACAGGCCGGTCCGTACTGGGAACACACACCACTGGCCTTAACCGGGGATCAGGAACGGGCCGGACCGGACTGGTAACACACCTCAGTCTCTCACGCCGTGCCTCAACTACTTCCCTCCCTCTACTCGCCAATGGCTCCCGTAATCCGGTAGCCTTCTCTCCACGTCTCCCTGTGGCAGCCTCCTGCTGCCCAGCCGCCCAAGCCATGTGCCCCCCCCAAAAAACTTTTTGGGGTTGCCTCTCGTCCTTCCAACGATGGCCCTGCTGACGCCGTTGCTCCTCTCTCAGTCGCCTCTCCACTGTTTTACTCCATGGCCGGCGATCCATCCCATCCAGGATTTCCTCCCAAGTCCAAGACCCTTTACCATCCAAAATCTCCTCCCATGTCCAGACCCTTGGCTCCTGGACACGCTGCTTGGTCCTGGTACGGTGGGTTTTTCTGTCACGAACGTCTACTAAGTGAGTGGACCAAGGCGCAGCGTGCGATACGAACATGACTTTATTAAATTAAAGTACTCAATACAAAACAACAAACAATGACGAATCGTGAAGTCCTCAGTTACAATGACTGATACGGAACAAAAACCCACAACACTAAGGTGAACACTGACAGTTTAAATATGGCTCCCAATCAGAGATAACGAGCCGACAGCTGACACTCGTTACCACTGATTGGGAGTCACACGACCAAACAAGGAAACACAACCAAATACAACACAACCAATACCAAACACAACCAAATGAACACACCCTGGCTCAAAATACACAGTCCCGGAGCCAGAGCGTGACATGATCTCTGTAATTGCAAACAAAGGTTTCTGTACCAAATATTAAGTTCTGCTTTTCTGATGTAGCAAATACTTATGTCATGCAATAAAATGCAAATTATTTACTTAAAAATCATACAATGTGGTTTTCTGGATTTTTATTTTAGATTCCGTCTCTCACAGTTGAAGTGTACCTATGATAAAAATTACAGACCTCTACATGCTTTGTAAGTAGGAAAACCTGCAAAATCGGCAGTGTATCAAATACTTGTTCTCCCCACTGTACTTATTTCCCTCATTAAAATGCAAATCAATTTATAAAAAAAATTACATGTGTTTTTCTGGATTTTTTTGTTGTTATTCTGTCTCTCACTGTTCAAATAAACCTACCATTAAAATTATAGACTGATCATGTCTTTGTCAGTGGGCAAACGTACAAAATCAGCAGGGGATCAAATACTTTTTTCCCTCACTGTACACACACACACACACACACACACACACACACACACACACACACACACACACACACACACACCTTGAGGTTCTGTCCATCGAAGGGCAGCGACCCTGAAACCAGTGTATACAGTATAACCCCCAGACTCCAGACATCCACCTCTGGTCCGTCGTACTTCTTCCCCTGGAACAGCTCTGGAGCGGCGTAGGGAGGGGAACCGCAGAACGTGTCCAGCTTACTGCCCATTACAAACTCATTACTAAAGCCAAAGTCTGCAATCTTGATGTTCATGTCAGCGTCCAGGAGTAGGTTCTCAGCCTGAGGGGGGAGGGATGGAGAGAGAGATGGACCCTGTAACCTTTCTATTCTCTCGTTCACTCTGCAAAGTTTGTGTCTGCCATTTTCAAAAAGGAAGAGAGAGTTCAAACATTCTTAGTCAAATAGAGAGCAGACAAGTTGTCAGCCTGGTCCCAGATCTGTTTGTGCTTTTGCCAACTCTCCATTGCTGTCATTCTCAAGCCAAACATGTTTGTACTAGCATGACAACTCCTTGTCACTCATTATCATGTCAAACAGACTGGCGCTCAGGCTAGTTGCCAACACACACACAGGCTTCTGAGCGTTTTAACTCTATATGTGGCCGAGCGAGGAGCAGAGGAGGCTTTGTTGGCTAGCAACAGGTAGGTGCTCTGGAGCAAACACTCTCCGCTCTGTGCAGTGTGAAATAGAACACAATGACATCATCTGACAACAGTGAACTCTGAAAACACACACGTGCACTCGTGATATGGGCGCATGCGCACAACGAGATTGAACAAGGACTCAATATAGCAAGGAGGAATGCTATACATGCAGTGGTGTCCAATGGGTCATTCACTGGAAGGACCGAAGGGTGGATCATAGTTAAATCTCTTCAGGTCATAGCATTATTAGCCTGTTACAGTCTTGGCTAGTAGCTACAAATTTGCTTTCTTTACTTAGTGGAACTTTAGGTTTAGAGTCACAGTGAAATAATGCAGTGTGTGTGTGATCATGTGATTAACATTGAGGTCAGCTGGGTGACTGACAGGTGTCTGGGCCAATGAGGGACATGTTCATAGAGGAGGGACTTTGTCAGACTGACAGCTCTCTGAGCCAATGATGAGTGATGACTATAAGAACAGACAAGGTTGAAATAAAAGGCTTGTTTTGTGCTGTATTGAGTTAAGTTGTTTTGCGTTGCATCTCACCTTTAGATCTCTGTGGACAATACACTTCTGGTGACAGTACTGGACCGCTGACACAATCTACACAGGGAGAGGAGCAGAGAGAGAGAGAGAGGGAGAGGAGAGGAGCAGAGAGAGAGGGAGAGGAGAGGAGCAGAGAGAGAGAGGGGGGGGGGGAGGAGGTGGAGAAAAATGGAGCGAGAGAAAAGGGAAGAGAGATCTTATTAACACGTCAGCAAATAAACACAATCTTTCTAATTAAATCTTTCTAGAAAAGCGCGAGCGCGCACACACTCCTCACCTGTCTGAATTTGGCACGTGCCTCCTTTTCTTTCATCCTCCCATGAGCGACCAGGTAATCAAACACCTCCCCTGGAGGAAGGAGGAGAGGAGCGAGGGATGAGAGGAGAGAAATGGAGGGATGGATCAGGAGAGAAATAGAGGGATGGATCAAGAGAGAAATGGAGGGATGGATGGAGAGAAATGGAGGGATGGATCAGGAGAGAAATAGAGGGATGGATCAAGAGAGAAATGGAGGGATGGATGGAGAGAAATGGAGGGATGGATGGAGGAAAGAAATGGGGGGATGAATGGATGGAGGAGAGAAATGGGGGGGGTGAATGGATGGAGGAGAGAAATGAAGGGATGGATAAAGTGATGAATGGAAAAGAGAAACATTGACACACACGTGGCAGTTCTTTACATCACTAGGCTTACGAAGGGGGATGATTTGACTGAAGCACACAAAACTCAGGGGGACGTATTTGACTGTCGCACACACATAACTCCAGGGGGGATGATTTGACTGTCGCAAACACATAACCCAGGGGGAATGATTTGTCTTTTGCACACACACCTCAGTGGGAAGTATTTGACGGGTGCACACACTCACCTCCACTGGCATACTCCATGACCAGATACAATGTCTTCTCCGTCTCTATCACCTCAAATAACTTCACTGTTGGGGGGGAGGGGGGAAATATTTAGATTGTCATTGTAGGTTCGGCCCTAATTTATGTGCTCTCTGACAACTGGAGTTGCATGGCAAATGGTCCAGGAACAAAGGACAATGCCAAAGGACCAGTCAGCCCTTCCCCCTAAAATGTATCTCTGCTATAGTATCCAGTGGAATGAGATAGAATAATCTATCTGAAACGTGTTCACTGAGGATAACGCTGATGCTATTTGTACAGTGCATTCAGAAAGTATTCATACCCCTTGACCTTTTCAAAATGTTGTTACGTTTAAGCCTTATTCTAAAATGGATTAAATTGTTTTCCCCCCCTCATCAATCTACACACAATACCCCATAATGACAAAGCCAAAACATGTTCAGATTTTTTTGCAAATTTATCAAATAGTTTTTTGGGAAATATCATATTTACATAAGTATTCAGACCCTTTGCTATGAGACTCAAAATTGAGCTCAGGGGAATCCTGTTTCCATTGATCATCCTTGAGCTGTTTCTACAACTTGATTGGAGCACACCTGTAGTAAATTCAATTCATTGGACAAGATTTGGAAAGGCACACACACCCGTCTATATAAAGGTCCCACAGTTGACAGTGCATGTCAGACCAAAAACCAAGCCATGAGGTCGAAGGAATTGTCCGTAGAGCTCCGAGACAGGATTGTGTCGAGGCACAGATCTGGTGATGGGTACCAAAACATTTCTGCAGCATTGAAGGTCCCCAGGAACACAGTGCCCTCCATCATTCTGAAATGGAAGAAGTTTGGAACCACCAAGACTCTTCCTAGAGCTGGCCGCCCGGCCAAACTGAGCAATCGGGGGAGAAGGGCCTTGGTCAGGTAGGTGACCAAGAACCCGATGGTCACTCTGACAGAGCTTCAGAGTTCCTCTGTGGAGATTGGAGAACCTTCCAGAAGGACAACCATCTCTGCAGCACTCCACCAATCAGCCAGATGGAAGCCATTCCTCAGTAAAAAGGCACATGACAGCCCGCTTGAAGTTTGCCAAAAGGCACCTAAAGGACTCAGACCATGAGAAACAAGATTCTCTGGTCTGATGAAACCAAGATTGAACTCTTTGGCCAGAATGCCAAGCGTCACATCTGGAGGAAACCTGGCACCATCCCTACGGTGAAGCATGAAGATTGCAGCATCATGCTGTGGGGATGTTTTTCAGTGGCAGGGACAGGGAGACTAGTTAGGATCGAGGGAAAGATGAACGGAGCAAAGTACAGAGAGATCCTTAATAAAAACTTGCTCCAGAGCGCTCAGGACCTCAGACTGGGGCGAAGGTTCACCTTCCAACAGGATAATGACCCTAAGCACACAGCCAAGACAACGCATGACTGGCTTCGGGACAAGTCTCTGTTTGTCCTTGAGTGGCCCACCCAGAACCTGGACATGAACCCGATCGAACATCTCTGGAGAGACCTGAATATAGCTGTGCAGTGACGCTCCCCATCCAACCTGACAGAGCTTGAGAGGATCTGCAGAGAAGAATGGGAGAAACTCCCCAAATACAGGTGTGCCAAGCTTGTAGCGTCATATCCAAGAAGACTCGAGGCTATAATCGCTGCCAAAGGTGCTTCAACAAAGCACTGAGTAAAGGGTCTGAATAATTATGTAAATGTGATATTTCAGTTGTTTATTTTTTATATATTTGCAAAATATTATAAAAACCAGTTTTTGCTTGCTTTGTCATTATGGGGTATTGTGTGTAGATTGTTGAGGGGGGAAAAACAATTTTAATCCATTATAGAATAAGGCTGTAACGTAACAAAATGTGGAAAAAGTCAAGGGGTCTGAATACTTTCCAAATGCACTGTATGTATGATCTCTGTGTTTATTTGTATCTGTATAGGGTGAACTCTGAATTACTATATGCAAAACGGCTTCATGGTCCTCTCAGGAATTCTGTCTTATTTACATTGGTCCCCGACACAAGCCGTTCAATTCTGTGACACCCTGTGGAGATTGGGCCTGAGAGTGTTTAGGTTACTGTAAACTTGGTATCGTTTGATTGGTCAACAGTGGTTGGTTTTGGGTTGAAAGGTTACACCTTCAGATGTTATAAATGGAATTAAATGCCTTTGTTCTCTCTCTTATCCTGTATCCAGTCCATGGAGGAAGGTTGTATAATCAATTCTCATTTCCTAGGATTCTAGGCCTCTAGGCCTCTGGCCTAGAAAGCATCTCTTTGTTCATGATTTGTCTTCTAAGTTAACCTTAGGATCTATATCTATATGAAGTATGCTTTGTAATGCTTGTTAATCCTTGTAACTTAAGCGTTATGCCTAGTATGTGAATCCATTCATTGTGTAATGTTAATTAAATATCTGATATTTTGTATTTTATTAGGAACCCCATTAGCTGTTGCTAAAGCAGCAGCTACACTTCCTAACATAATACAGAACATTAATAGACAAGAACAGCACTACATAAAACATTTTAAAAAGGCACACGTAGCCTACATATCAATACATACACACAAACTATATAGGTCGAATAAGGGAGAGGCGTTGTTCCCGTGAGGTGTTGCTTTATCTGTTTTTTTTTTAAACCAGGTTTGCTGTTCATTTGAGCAATATGAGATGGAACAGAGTTCCATGCAATAATGGCTCTATATACATTGGGGAAAAAAAGTATTTAGTCAGCCACCAATTGTGCAAGTTCTCCCACTTAAAAAGATGAGAGAGGCCTGTAATTTTCATCATAGGTACACGTCAACTATGACAGACATATTTTGAGAAAAAAAATCCAGAAAATCACATTGTAGGATTTTTTATGAATTTATTTGCAAATTATGGTGGAAAATAAGTATTTGGTCACCTACAAACAAGCAAGATTTCTGGCTCTCACAGACCTGTAACTTCTTCTTTAAGAGGCTCCTCTGTCCTCCACTCGTTACCTGTATTAATGGCACCTGTTTAAACTTGTTATCAGTATAAAAGACACCTGTCCACAACCTCAAACAGTCACACTCCAAACTCCACTATGGCCAAGACCAAAGAGCTGTCAAAGGATACCAGAAACAAAATTGTAGACCTGCACCAGGCTGGGAAGACTGTATCTGCAATAGGTAAGCAGCTTGGTTTGAAGAAATCAACTGTGGGAGCAATTATTAGGAAATGGAAGACATACAAGACCACTGATAATCTCCCTCGATCTGGGGCTCCACGCAAGATCTCACCCCGTGGGGTCAAAATGATCACAAGAACGGTGAGCAAAAATCCCAGAACCACACGGGGGGACCTAGTGAATGACCTGCAGAGAGCTGGGACCAAAGTAACAAAGCCTACCATCAGTAACACACTACGCCGCCAGGGACTCAAATCCTGCAGTGCCAGACGTGTCCCCCTGCTTAAGCCAGTACATGTCCAGGCCCGTCTGAAGTTTGCTAGAGTGCATTTGGATGATCCAGAAGAGGATTGGGAGAATGTCATATGGTCAGATGAAACCAAAATATAACTTTTTGGTAAAAACTCAACTCGTCGTGTTTGGAGGACAAAGAATGCTGAGTTGCATCCAAAGAACACCATACCTACTGTGAAGCATGGGGGTGGAAACATCATGCTTTGGGGCTGTTTTTCTGCAAAGGGACCAGGACGACTGATCCGTGTAAAGGAAAGAATGAATGGGGCCATGTATCGTGAGATTTTGAGTGAAAACCTCCTTCCATCAGCAAGGGCATTGAAGATGAAACGTGGTTGGGTCTTTCAGCATGACAATGATCCCAAACACACTGCCCGGACAACGAAGGAGTGGCTTCGTAAGAAGCATTTCAAGGTCCTGGAGTGGCCTAGCCAGTCCAGATCTCAACCCCATAGAAAATCTTTGGAGGGAGTTGAAAGTCTGTGTTGCCCAGCGACAGCCCCAAAACATCACTGCTCTAGAGGAGATCTGCATGGAGGAATGAGCCAAAATACCAGCAATAGTGTGTGAAAACCTTGTGAAGACTTACAGAAAACGTTTGACCTGTGTCATTGCCAACAAAGGGTATATATCAAAGTATTGAGAAACTTTTGTTATTGACCAAATACTTATTTTCCACCATAATTTGCAAATAAATGCATTAAAAATCCTACAATGTGAATATCTGGAATTTTCTTTCTCATTTTGTCTGTCATAGTTGACGTGTACCTATGATGAAAATGACAGGCCTCTCTCATCTTTTTAAGTGGGAGAACTTGCACAATTGGTGGCTGACTAAAGACCCCTGGTGGCGTGTCTGGTGGGGTAAGTGTGTGTGTCAGAGCTGTGTGTAACACATTAATGTTTCTTGTAAAAATAAGAAGTGACACAGTCAGTCTCTCCTCAACTGGCATGCATAGTATTTATATCAGCCCTCTGATTACAATGAAGAGCAAGAGGTGCCGCTCTGTTCTGGGCCAGCTGTGGCTTAACTAGGTCTTTCCTTGCAGCACTATACCACACGACTGGCCAATAATCAAGACAAGACAAAACTAGAGCCTGCAGAACTTACTTTTTGGAGTGTGGTGTCAAAAAAGCAGAGCATCTCTTTATTACGGACAGACCTTTCCCCATCTTTACAACCATTGAATCATGACAGTTTACAATCTAAGGTAACACCAAGTAATTTAGTCTTCTCAACTTGTTCAACAGCCACACCATTCATTACCAGATTCAGCTGAGGTCTAGAACTTAGGGTATGATTTGTACCAAATACAATGCTCTTAGCTTTAGATATGTTCAGGACCAGTTTATTACTGGCCACCCATTCCAAAACAGACTGCAACTCTTTGTTAAGGGTTTCAATTACTTCATTAGCTGTGGTTGCTGATGCGTATATGGTTGAATCATTAGCATAAATGGACACACATACTTTGTTTAATGCCAGTGACAGGTCATTGGTAAAAATAGAAAAAAGTAGAGGGCCTAGAGAGCTGCCCTGCGGTACACCACACTTTACATGTTTGACATTAGAGAAGCTTCCATTTAAAAAAAACGTTGAGTTCTATTAGATAGATAGCTCTGAATCCACAATATGGCAGAGGTTGAAAAGCCATAACACATACGTTTTCTCAACAACAGATTATGGTCAATAATATCAAAGGCTGCACTGAAATCTAACAGTACAGCTCCCACAATCTTCTTATTTTCAATTTCTTTCCAATCATCAGTCATTTGTGTCAGCGCAGTACATGTTGAGTGCCCTTCTCTATAAGCATGCTGAAAGTCTGTTGTTAATTTGTTTACAGAGAAATAGATAGGAGATATGACACATAGGAGTGGCTATAGAGTCAGCTACCATCCTCAGTAGCTTTCCATCTAAGTTGTCAATGCCATGAGGTTTGTCATTATTGATCAATAACAATAATTTTTCAACCTCTCCTACACCAACTTAACAAAATTCAAACTTGCAATGCTTTCCTTTCATTATTTGTTTTTTTTATGCATGAATACGATGGCTCACTGTTCGTTGTTGGCATTTCCTGCCTAAGTTTGCCCACTTTGCCAATGAAGTAATCATTAAAATAATTGGCAACATCAAATGGTTTTGTGATGAATAAGCCACCTGATTCAATGAAAGATGGAGTTGAATTTGTCTTTCTGCCCATAATTTCAATTAAAGTACCCCAACGTTTTTTCCATCATTCTTTATATCATTGATCTTGGCTTCATAATACAGTTTCTTCTTCTTTTTGTTGAGTTTAGTCACATAATTTCTCAATTTGCAGTAAGTCAGGCTTATTAGCCACTCCTTTTGCCCCATCTCTTTCAAGCATACAGTTTTTCAATGCCTCATCAATCCATGGAGCCTTAACAGTTCTAACAGTCAGTTTCTTAACAGGTGCATGTTTATCAATAATTGGAAGAAGCAATCTGCCTTTGATATAGACAATTATCAGACCAATTCATGCTAGTCAGTGTCAACTCATTTCCTAATGCTTGTGTGTATATTTTAATTATCTTTATGGAGTCAGAAACATTTTAATAGGCTAATTGCTTAGTCTTATTACGAGTCACATGTGAGGTATTTATAACATAATATATACTGTATATACACATGTCAAATACAGTATTACTGCCCACTACATCATCTATGTAATAGCATAGCAGTGTGTTGAGAGTTGGTTCACTTCAAATGTCTGTGACAGGATGACAAATGATTCATGAGTCAACTCACCTATGTTAGGATGATTCAACAGCTTCATGATTCTCACTTCCCGGAAGAGCTGAGGGGGACAGAGAAGATAGAGTCAGGACTGTGTTTGTGTGAGGCTGGTTTCCTGTAATTAGGTCTCAATGAGCTCTAGACCACTTCATACAGAGAGAGATGGAAGGATAGAGAGAAAGAGAGAGAGGGAGTGAGGAAGAGAGAGAGAGCGAGAGAGAGAGTGAAGAGAAAGAGAAAAAAATTAAATAGGAGAGAAAAGCACATGGGAGATGAAAGACAGGAATTGAAAAGAGAAAAAGGATGATGTGTGTGTGTGTGTCTGTGTGAAGTGTATTTGTGTGTGTGTGTATTCGTCGACCCACCTTCTGCAGACTGGAAGAGTTGAGTTGGGTCTTATCAATAATCTTCACAGCCACCTGAAAATCATATACTGTACATTAGACTTAGAGTCAGCACACACACACACAGAGTAATAAAGAGGCCTATACAGAAACCACAGCAGGCTAGCATTGCGTAGCAGAGTGAAGTGCAGCGTTTCACACGTGTACACTAACACAAGTAATGGCTTATATTTGTGTTATAATGAGGTCTCAGGTTCTTAATCCTACACACACAGACAGAGACAGAGAGAGCAAGTCTACCACTTTTTCCTTTCAGTGGCTCGCTCTCTTCTCTCTAATGTCTCTATTCTATCACTCATACTCCCACTCTTTCTATCCCTCTCTCCTTGCGCTCCATTTCTTGCTCTTTACTTTCCCTCTTCCTCACTCCCTCTCTCACCCTCCCTTAGTCTCTCCCTCTCTCCCCTTCATTATTTCTCTCTGTCTGCCACTTTCACATGGAGTGTTATCAGTATCATAGAGAAGTCACACATTGACATAGCCAGCAACCCTAGCACAAACACACAACCATCAGCAAACCTTAACTACACACACTGGCCTGTGTCTGCCTGCGTGCCTGTCTGTCTGCCAGTCCGTCTTCCTCTTTCTGCCTGTCTGAGCATATGCAATTCTAGAAGAGGTACACAGAACAGAACCCCGACTGCACACAAACGGTCTCCCACACTGTCTATTTGGTCTGTGTGTCACACTACAGAAACCTAAAAGAGCTGGACAGCACAGAGACTGCAGACAGACAGTCAGAAACAGTCGGAATACTGAACACTGTACCTGCCTGGTGGAACACAGTGAGGAGAGGGACAGAATGTTGAGTGTTCCAAGTTTCAACGGAACACCAACTTCAGTTCAGACAACTTCATAACTTCAACTCAACTAAGGAGACAGCAGGGCTGCATCTCAATAGTCTAGAGACTTCCTCTCCTCGTCTCCTTCAAGAGGGGAAAAAAGTATGTTTAGACTATTGAGATGCAGCCGAAGTCCAAGCGGAGGCTACACAGGACATGATGCAACAAGACAGCAAGCAGTTCCTGACAAAAATGTGTGTGTGTTACCTCTGTCCCGGTGAGGACATGGCGTGCCAGCTTGACCTTAGCGAAGTTGCCCTTGCCGATGGTCTTTAGTAACCGGTAGTTACCAATGTGAGGAGTCTCCTCCGCTGTCGTGGCAACCGAGTTCCGACACCGCGGCATGCTGGGACGGCCCCCCGTCTTGGTGTCCTGGGGGAGAGAGGGAGAGGTGAAAGAGATGGAAGGTGTAGGGAGAAGGAAAGAGAGCTTCAGACCATCATCTGTAACAAGAATGAAACATTGTTTTATTTTGATGTTAATCACTCTAAAATAAACGACTAAAACCTACAAAATCGCAGAGATAGAGACAGAGCAACTCTGATTGGAATAGGGAAGGTGTTTATCAAAGATACTAAGAACTTCTAATAGGTTTTTCATCTGTGGTGTTTACCACACTGGAATACACACACACTCACATACTGAGTGTAAGAGAACACTGACAAGGTTAAAGGCTTGGGTCAAGGCAATTGTGTGTGTGTGTGAGATCTGGGTAGACCGGTGGCGGGGATCAGGGTCAGAGGGGAGGGTAGCTGGCTCCAGTGTGACGACACAACCACACACACACGCAAGAGACCTGACACCAAAGAGAGAGAGACAGAGAAATTCACACTGTGACTGTTGAGCCGTCTGTCCTTGTCATTTCTCCATGTAAAAGGACCCATGAGCCCCAACATGTGAAGTTCATAGGAGTGTGTCAAATTGGGTGTGAAATGAAAGCAACAAGTCTATACAGTGGGGAAATAAAAGTATTTAGTCAGCCACCAATTGTGCAAGTTCTCCCACTTAAAAAGATGAGAGAGGCCTGTAATTTTCATCATAGGTACAAGTCAACTAGGACAGACAAAATGAGGGAAAAAAATCCAGAAAATCACATTGTAGGATTTTTAATGAATTTATTTGCAAATTATGGTGGAAAATAAGTATTTGGTCAATAACAAAAGTTTCTCAATACTTTGTTATATACCCTTTGTTGGCAATGACACAGGTCAAACGTTTTCTGTAAGTCTTCACAAGGTTGTCACACACTGTTGCTGGTATTTTGGCCCATTCCTCCATGCAGATCTCCTCTAGAGCAGTGATGTTTTGGGGCTGTCGCTGGGCAACACAGACTTTCAACTCCCTCCAAAGATTTTCTATGGGGTTGAGATCTGGAGACTGGCTAGGCCACTCCAGGACCTTGAAATGCTTCGTACGAAGCCACTCCTTCGTTGCCCGGGCGGTGTGTTTGGGATCATTGTCATGCTGAAAGACCCAGCCACGTTTCATCTTCAATGCCCTTGCTGACGGAAGGAGGTTTTCACTCAAAATCTCACGATACATGGCCCCATTCATTCTTTCCTTTACACGGATCAGTCGTCCTGGTCCCTTTGCAGAAAAACAGCCCCAAAGCATGATGTTTCCACCCCCATGCTTCACAGTAGGTATGGTGTTCTTTGGATGCAACTCAGCATTCTTTGTCCTCCAAACACGACGAGTTGAGTTTTTACCAAAAAGTTCTATTTTGGTTTCATATGACATTCTCCCAATCCTCTTCTGGATCATCCAAATGCACTCTAGCAAACTTCAGACGGGCCTGGACATGTACTGGCTTAAGCAGGGGGACACGTCTGGCACTGCAGGATTTGAGTCCCTGGCGGCGTAGTGTGTTACTGATGGTAGGCTTTGTTACTTTGGTCCCAGCTCTCTGCGGGTCATTCACTAGGTCCCCCCGTGTGGTTCTGGGATTTTTGCTCACCGTTCTTGTGGTCATTTTGACCCCACGGGGTGAGATCTTGCGTGGAGCCCCAGATCGAGGGAGATTATCAGTGGTCTTGTATGTCTTCTATTTCCTAATAATTGCTCCCACAGTTGATTTCTTCAAACCAAGCTGCTTACCTATTGCAGATTCAGTCTTCCCAGCCTGGTGCAGGTCTACAATTTTGTTTCTGGTGTCCTTTGACAGCTCTTTGGTCTTGGCCATAGTGGAGTTTGGAGTGTGACTGTTTGAGGTTGTGAACAGGTGTATTTTATACTGATAACAAGTTCAAACAGGTGCCATTAATACAGGTAACAAGTGGAGGACAGAGGAGCCTCTTAAATAAGAACTTACAGGTCTGTGAGAGCCAGAAATCTTGCTTGTTTGTAGGTGACCAAATACTTATTTTCCACCATAATTTGCAAATAAATTCATAAAAAATCCTACAATGTGATTTTCTGGATTTTTTCTCTCAATTTGTCTGTCATAGTTGACGTGTACCTATGATGAAAATTACAGGCCTCTCTCATCTTTTTAAGTGGGAGAACTTGCACAATTGGTGGCTGACTAAATACTTTTTTTCCCCACTGTATATATATAATTTTTTATTAAGGCATTTATAAATATTTCTACAATTTTCCATCCCAAAAAAATAAAGACCCCTGCCTACTAATATCAACACTTGTATTTAGTTTAGGATAATTTTTTCTGCCTTCTGTAAGTTTAAGAAACATTGCCTTGTGCCTTGAAATTACATTAGAAAATATCTTAAAGATATGTGGATTTTTGGTACTCTCTCCCTCATAAAGAGGGATGATAATGAAAGTTCACAGACGAGTAAAGGTAGACCTATCAATTAGTTAGTGTTTTTAATAATAATTTTGTTTATGAATTATTAAGTGATTAAAACTCTAAATTCTGTTACCAAATCAGTAACGGAATTTCCGAAAAATCTGTAACTGGAATTTCTACAATTGAATTGGCTACAATGGGAAATCATAGTAGTCAAAAACCACAGTTGGGTCACCTGCTACTGTCCTCCCTTCCATTGGCATACTGTTAAGTTAAACTGTTTTTTTCCCTCTTTCTGTCCTCTGGTGGTCAAAGCAATAGTGTGAAAAGTCAGGACAACCCTCCCTCTCCCTCTCTCCGATAAATGTCACCTCTCGCGACTCTAACTGAAACATACCTAGCTGGTCATGACATTTTGTCAGCAGGTTATTGTCATGTAAAAGACGATGGTCACGGTAGGTAATTGACCATTAATTAACATAAATATGTTTAGTATCTCCAGGCCTCCAAGCATACAAGCCGCTGATTCGTGCCTTTGCAACATCGACATTTAAAAAAAGTACACTGCTCAAAAAAATAAAGGGAACACTTAAACAACACATCCTAGATCTGAATGAATGAAATAATCTTATTAAATACTTTTTTCTTTACATAGTTGAATGTGCTGACAACAAAATCACACAAAAATTATCAATGGAAATCAAATGTATCAACCCATGGAGGTCTGGATTTGGAGTCACCCTCAAAATGAAAGTGGAAAACCACACTACAGGCTGATCCAACTTTGATGTAATGTCCTTAAAACAAGTCAAAATGAGGCTCAGTAGTGTGTGTGGCCTCCACGTGCCTGTATGACCTCCCTACAACGCCTGGGCATGCTCCTGATGAGGTGGCGGATGGTCTCCTGAGGGATCTCCTCCCAGACCTGGACTAAAGCATCCGCCAACTCCTGGACAGTCTGTGGTGCAACGTGGCGTTGATGGATGGAGCGAGACATGATGTCCCAGATGTGCTCAATTGGATTCAGGTCTGGGGAACGGGCGGGCCAGTCCATAGCATCAATGCCTTCCTCTTGCAGGAACTGCTGACACACTCCAGCCACATGAGGTCTAGCATTGTCTTGCATTAGGAGGAACCCAGGGCCAACCTCACCAGCATATGGTCTCACAAGGGGTCTGAGGATCTCATCTCGGTACCTAATGGCAGTCAGGCTACCTCTGGCGAGCACATGGAGGGCTGTGCGGCCCCCCAAAGAAATGCCACCCCACACCATGACTGACCCACCGCCAAACCGGTCATGCTGGAGGATGTTGCAGGCAGCAGAACGTTCTCCACGGCGTCTCCAGACTCTGTCACGTCTGTCACATGTGCTCAGTGTGAACCTGCTTTCATCTGTGAAGAGCACAGGGCGCCAGTGGCGAATTTGCCAATCTTGGTGTTCTCTGGCAAATGCCAAACGTCCTGCACAGTGTTGGGCTGTAAGCACAACCCCCACCTGTGAACGTCGGGCCCTCATACCACCCTCATGGAGTCTGTTTCTGACCGTTTGAGCAGACACATGCACATTTGTGGCCTGCTGGAGGTCATTTTGCAGGGCTCTGGCAGTGCTCCTCCTGCTCCTCCTTGCACAAAGGCGGAGGTAGCGGTCCTGCTGCTGGGTTGTTGCCCTCCTACGGCCTCCTCCACGTCTCCTGATGTACTGGCCTGTCTCCTGGTAGCGCCTCCATGCTCTGGACACTACGCTTAGCAGACGCTTTTATCCAAACCGACTTACAGTCATGCGTGCATAAATTTTTGTGCATGGGTGGTCCCGGGGATCGAACCCACTACCTTGGCGTTACAAGCGCCGTGCTCTACCAGCTTAGCTACAGAGGACCACTCTTGCCACAGCTCGCATTGATGTGCCATCCTGGATGAGCTGCACTACCTGAGCCACTTGTGTGGGTTGTAGACTCCGTCTCATGCTACCACTAGAGTGAAAGCACCGCCAGCATTCAAAAGTGACTAAAACATCAGCCAGGAAGCATAGGAACTGAGAAGTGGTCTGTGGTCACCACCTGCAGAACCACTTCTTTATTGGGGTTGTCTTGATAATTGCCTATAATTTCCACCTGTTGTCTTTACCATTTGCACAACAGCATGTGAAATGTATTGTCAATCAGTGTTGCTTCCTAAGTGGACAGTTTGATTTCACAGAAGTGTGATTGACTTGGAGTTACATTGTGTTGTTTAAGTGTTCCCTTTATTTTTTTGAGCAGTGTATAATGAATCAATTGAATATACACTATCACAATATATAAATGTATTTTAGCCAGGTCTAAAGAAACATGATATGAAGAAAATTTATTTCAGAAGAACAGAATATGAGTTGGCCTAGTTTATGTTAATCGGGCAATGCTCCATGCCATAGGTTTGTTAGTTTAGCTGACAAGATATGCTTAGGGTACTAGGGGGTAACTACCCCCAAGGGGTAACTGCCCCCCCACACTGTAATTCACAATAACACCACAAGATGTCAACAAATTATTTTCCCAAAACGTTCTCTGGCTGACACTGCTCTTGCTCAACAAAAAATGTCCTCGGTGTCATCACAACTTTTGGAGATATTTCATAAGGTTATCAA